TGGTCAGTTGGAAGTTTTGTAAACTGGCTGCAATATTACACACAGCTACCTGCAAATAAGCCCAACTGAGCTCACTGTGGTTTACTCGCAAGTATACATGCATATGACTACACTGTTAGGCATGCCCAAGATCATTGTTTTCAGTGGCTAAGTCTGCATGAGATCAGGCTACTGATGCCAGTAACAGTCCCCTAGAGCCCTCCTTTGTATTAGTCAGCATAGGAAAGTGGATAAATACTTTCCCCAGCCCCATAATACTAAATTTAATTAGGTCACATTTCCTCTGTCTTGAAATGGCAGAAGCTATGTACAGCAGACTGCACAGAGCTAATGAGAAAATTATGCACAAAACATCTTGCACTACAGCGGCATCCTAGGCTCAGCTGACCAGCTTGTTAGTCACAATTCTGTCACTGTCAGAACCATTCTGAGGTAACTTTTAACTTCTTCTTGAACACAATGCCTATCCAGTCTCGATGTAGAATAGGCTCAGTTTTTCCAAACTCTTTGGAGAATCCTCAAAAGGATCTGGCAAGTTCAACGGAAGCTAGAAAAGGCGTTTTCTGTCAACCTCTACCATCTTCAAATATCTGAAGGGTTGTCAGATGGAGAAAGTGTGTTTCCTGCTGCTCCAGGATGAATGGTATCAATGGAATAAGATCACAGGAAAGGAGATTCGGACTAAACATAAGGAAGAACTTTCTGACACACCTTCGTTGGAGGTTTTTAAACAGAGATTGAATGGTCATCTGTCAAAGATTACTTAGCTGTGATTCCTACAATGCATGCACTTGGGCCAGATACTGCAACTCTTGGGGGTCGCTTCCCACTCTACAGTTCTACCACCCCCTGTCTTCACTTACGCCTTCCCCCCCTTTTCCTAATTTTACCTGGATAGAAAGGAATATGGAAACAAATAATGGCAGTGCTGGAACAGCCAGACCCAGTCACATACAAAATTTGGATCAGCTCATAATTGGCTCAGCTTTTCCAGGCTAGGGTTAGTTTACTTCCGCACCAGCTTTTTATAAAGTTTGCCACAATCCCTACATTTTTACCTTCCCAAGCAAGACTAGGTCAGCCTAACTTCAGTATTTGAAACCATCCAATCACATTGTTTACACATCTCTTTAAACTAGTTTTTAAAGGTGACTGCAAGTCTTTAAAATGCAGTCAAATGTTCACAAATTAACAATACATCTGATAATTAAATACTACATTTCCAAGTAACGATGCATGTTCTGGAACCTCAACAAATTTTGGTGACACAATTGGGGGAAGTAGAAATAGGGTTGCCATATTCCCAAAAGTAAAAATCCAGACAAAGTTGTTGAGCTTTTGGGGGGGATTTTTAAAGCATTAAAAAATTGTAATAATCGCCCTACTATGGCAGCCCTAGTAGAAAGTAGATATGCCCACTGCCATTCCTCACAGTTAATTTTAAGATGACAATCTTTAAACAATGTGATTAAAACTCTGATTACTAAGAAATTGTGTGTTAAGTTGTTGATTGACAACATTTTTACATTCCCAAGCAGGACTAGGTCAGCCTGTGACATCAGAATCTTGAAGGAGCTGCCAAAATGTAGGCAACACAGATCTCGCTTCGTTGCCCCTGAAACGTTAAGCAACTAGTGTGCTGGAAATATTTGTTGCAAAGTGCTAGCTAAGTAACAAAATAGAAAAATGGGTCATCTCATGTGTAGTTCAACCAGATACGGTGCTTCATTCTACACAACCATTACTGAAAAAGTTAACGGTTTGGTAATATGCTGATTTGCAACGTCATAATCAATTGATTTAGTCACGCAATCATTTTTTTAAAAAAATCTTCAATAAGGTGGTGAATGTTTTAGTTGATTCATAGGACAATTTCATTCAACAGTTATATGGTAGGTTGACCTTTGTTGATTTGATAGCCTCGTTTGTCCAAATTACAGATCTCTCATCTGCTTGTTCAGTCCTCATTCTGACACCCATCAAGGGCACATTAGTAAGAGGGCTCAATCTACCAGAACATCCCAAAATATATTGCCAAGGTCCTTCATGTGGAACCAGGATAAGAAACTGGATCCAGCCAGTGGGCCACATGTTGACCATGACATCAGTTGAAGCATTTCCCTTTGCCTGTGTGGTATGAAAGCAAACCACAAAGGCAAAGCGTTGGCAGGTGCTGATTATCAGTTGACAGCAGAGATGGTATCTTTATCTGCCCTCACATCTGACATCTTACACAACATCAGGTATAGGGCACAGGAAAATGGCTTGGGGAAAATGGCTTTGTGGGTCAAAACAGGCTTTCTCAGCCTGATTATGCACTTTCCCAATACAGTGGTACCTCAGGTTACATACGCTTCAGGTTACATACGCTTCAGGTTACAGACTCCACTAACCTAGAAATAATACCTCGGGTTAAGAACTTTGCTTCAGGATGAGAACAGAAATCATGCACCAGCGATGTAGCAGCAGCAGGAGGCCCCATTAGCTAAAGTGGTGCTTCGGGTTAAGAACAGTTTCAGGTTAAGAACGCACCTCCAGAACGAATTAAGTACTTAACCTGAGGTATATCAGATTCTCACAATACACACCCACCAACAAACAACCACTGGGCATGGAGGTGGGTGGTTTACACACCTTCCACCCAAAATGCAGTGCAACAGTTATACGAGAGAACCAAAAGGTGTGTCAAGTTTTCAGCTGGCCACTGTTGTTGTGCCTTTGAAATGCAACACCTTAGAAGGCAATTACGCCCAACTCTGCTCAGCAACCAAAGCCAATTTTCCTCCCTCCCACTCTTATTTTTGTCTTTGTATCAGAAAGGCACCCAGCCAATTTGGTTGCCAACAAATATTGCCACAGACATTTCTGACATCACGGTCTTTCCAACGAGTGGCTCCTGTCCACACTTGTTAATTGTCTTACTTTAAATGTTGTGAGGATCCTATTACCTTTTGAAATGTGTTTTTTGGGGAGTGGGGGTTATTAGGTTGTTGTTTTTATTTTGATTATGTATTTTGTGGTTTTATATTTTGATTTTATTCTGTGAACTGCCCTGAGATCTCCAGGTATAGGGTGGTATATAAATTCAATAAATACCGGTAACAACAACAACAGCCACCAACAACTCCATGCAGCAAAAACCTCTGTTTTCTCATTCCTACACATCAAGCTGCTGTTAAAAGACAGATCAGGCTACTTCCACACACACACATACACACCGCTTGGTTGGCAGTCCTATTGTCTACTTCCACACACACACACACACACACGCCACTTGTGTATGGTTGGCAGTCATATTGCCTAATGATGCCATCTGACAACTCTAGCCACTTCGGGGTTCTTTAAAGGTAAAGGGTAAAGGGACCCCTGACCATTAGGTCCAGTCGTGACCAACTCTGGGGTTGCGGCGCTCATCTCGCTTTATTGGCCAAGGGAGGCGGCGTACAGCTTCTGGATCATGTGGCCAGCATGACTAAGCCGCTTCTGGCAAACCAGAGCAGCGCACGGAAACGCCGTTTGCCTTCCCGCCGGAGCAGTACCTATTTATCTACTTGCACTTCGTGCTTTCGAACTGCTAGGTGGGCAGGAGCAGGGACCGAACAACGAGAGCTCATACCGCCGCAGGAATTTGAACTGCTGACCTTCTGATCGGCAAGTCCTAGGCTCTGTGGTTTAACCCACAGTGCCACCTGCATCCCTTCAGGGTTCTTTACTTGCACCTAATTTGGTGTACCCATCTTTGATAGTCATTCCACCTGTTCCAACTTGCAAAAGCATATCAGGAGTTTTGAACCCATGTGTCCCCTTCTCCCAACTGACATGGCTATAAGTGATAACTGATAAAGAAATCTGGGTTTGCAGGCTGCACAGTTGGCTTTGATCAAGGTGCACAGAAGGTGACCCCCCCCCAAAAAAACAACAACAGCACACACAAACACTTCCCAGAAGGCCAAGATGTGTCTCCGTTTTGCACAGAAACCTATAGCAAAGAGCACAAAGGGTTTCTACTTGGATTTATGCCAAAATGGTACAGCTCAACTCTCCACTGCCTTCCCCATTACATAACCTGTTGCTATTCATGTACACACAATGTAAGCCCTAGAGAGGTGCCGTGCCGGGGAATGTGACTCGCTACTGGCTGAACAAAATTGAAACCTTCCACACCACAAAATAGCAGAGCTGTCTATAAATACGACCCACACTTGTTGCTAACAAACAAAAAGCCATGGGAGAGAAGCTGAAACTTCAGCACAAGTTTAGTCATTTAGAGAGTTGCGCCGGGGCGCGGTGGGTAACCACTCTGTTGTGATACTCTTCCCCTTCTAAGCCTGTTGAAACTGTAACAGCCACAGAATCTGCATAAAAAAGATTTGCATGTCTTTCAGCCTCAAGCAAAGATGCAACTCTTGCAAACGGTGGGGAGTTCTCAACAAGCAAAGGGAGAAATGAAAAGGACCAGGAGAAGATCCATCATGGATCGTACTTACTGCAAAAGGAGAAGAGGGTTCATTAAAAAATAAATAAATAAATATAGATGTATATGGTTCTGCTAGGGGATAAAACCCTCCAATTATCAGCCTCTCCCGAGCAGTGAGATCCCCCTCTAGGAGATTCATTAGTTAACAATAAAACGTTCCACTTTTCATTCACCAAATCACCAGCCAGCCCAGCGAATTCTCAGGCGATTGAGAAAAGAATTTCTTTCTTTTTTAATAAATAAAAGTGAAGGAGGGAGGGAGCCCGCCAGGCGCCTTTACTCACTGAAAAGTCTGCAGTCTGGGCGCAGCCGGTTATGCTCTCTAATTAAAGTCATTTAGCAAAAAAAAGGGGGGAGGAGAAGGGGGGAGAAAATCATCTCTCCGCGGTCCCCACCCACTCTGGGGTTTCGGGATTCAGTAGCTCCCTAGGGAAGAAGAAAAATAGAGACTGAGAACCGGAGGCGTGCTTGTCGGAGGCGAAGGCGGACACTTCTCGAAGACGCTTTGAATAAATAAACCCACCTACAAATTCCGCGTTGCCGCGTTTAAGGCTGGAATCTTAAGCCCACTTCGAAAGGGAGGAGGCGGGATTCCTTCCCAGCAAAGAGGGCATTACTTCCGTGTAAGGGCCGGTGGGATCGGGATCTTGTGCACATTTACTCCAGAGTAATTCCCTCTTCCTTCCGAGGAAACCTGCGTTGGCTCGGAGCGCACAAAGGAGAAGCTGCCCCTGCGTTTTGTTTTGACGGCGAAGCCAACGTGCGCGTCGCTCCCGCCTCCCGCCACAAGAAGCTTCTACCTACAAAGGGATGGGTGGGGGAAGGGAGTCGCTCGCTCTCTCCTACCAGATCAGGCATTGCGGAACACATCGATCTCCTCTCCTTTTATTTTGGGGGCCAATAACTCAGCTGCCCGCGATCAGTGTACCCCAACCGAAAGAGCGCGCGTGGAAAGCGGCTACCTCGCCAACAAGACGCGTGCTGACAACTTGATGGAGAATCAATCTGCAGCCGTTGCTGTGGAGACGCGGCGGCTCCGAGCTCTCAACGCCCCCCCCCAAAAAAAACTCCTCCCAACTCCCTTTCAACTTCAGGGGAAGTTGCTGCCATCCCGTTTCTGTCCCATCCCCTTTACATTTCGGAACCCGCGGCGGGGAGAGCGGAACTTCCCACTCGCCCCCCTTTAAATGGAACTCGAGCGCCACTTTTGGCGAACTGGGAAATAAGAAATGACTAATGGAGCTGTAATAGCTGGAAGGGGGAAGGAAAAAACTTCCTTCTCCCCCACTCATTTTTCTTGCCAGGGCAAGGGTTGTGATTTTTTCTTGCTCGCTGTGTTTGCTTTAACTCATCGGCCGGGAGCGATTCCCCTTGTTTCCAAAGCTTTAAAGCAGCCATAACCCGGTTGGTGTTCGTGAGAGGTTAGCAGTGCTAGCCTATGCAGCGGTCTACTCAGAAGTAAGCCCCCGTGAATTTGATGGGGCTGCGTTATACTCCCAGGTTAGTGGATGCAAGTGGACCGGCAGCGTCATTCCTGCTGCTGATTTCAGTGAGACTGTCAGAGCAAAGATGTGCGTGTTTACCTGGAAGGAAGAATGTGTTCCTTGAATTCCGCCCACGCTTAGGCTCTTTCCCACAGGTGTAGAGGAATGCAGTCTCAGGTAAAGAGTCAGGTATTCTAGGACATCCCGATGGTGCAACTATAGATCGCTTCCAAGAATTGCTTATTATGTCTTAAATTTCCACACCACCCTTCATTACAGGGCGGTTTGCAATATAAAAACACAAAAAAATAGCATAACCAACATAACAGTAACACACACACACAGTTTAAGAGGCCATGGATTGTTCAATCAGCCAAAGGCCCAGGAGAAGATTTTGCCTGGTACTTAAATATATGTAGTGAAGGTGCCAGGCAAACCTCCCTGGGGAGAGCATTCCACAAGCAGGGAGCCACCACAGAAAAGGCATATTCTAGTGGCGAGTGGCGCTGTGGGTTAAACCACAGAGCCTAGGACTTGCTGATCAGAAGGTCAGCGATTTGAATCACCACCACAGAGTGAGCTCCCGTTGCTTAGTCCCTGTTCCTGCCAACCTAGCAGTTCGAAAGCACGTCAAAGTGCAAGTAGATAAATAGGTACCGCTCTGGCGGGAAGGTAAACAGTGTATCCATGCACTGCTCTGGTTCGCCAGAAGTGGCTTAGTCATGCTGGCCACATGACCCGGAAGCTGTACACCGGCTCCCTCGGCCAATAAAGTGAGATGAGCACCACAACCCCAGAGTCGGTCACAACTGGACCTAATGGTCAGGGGTCCCTTTACCTTTACCTAGTGGCATCCTCACATTCAGGCTGTTACTCCCAAGTCAAACTGCAACCTTTAGAGATGAACCAAGCTTTTTTTCTACCCTAGCAAATGAAAATTTCTGCCTCCTTTGTGTTGTCCATTCACAGAGAAGCATATCAGTAGCAGATTAAACGTTATTTTCTCATTTTCTTTTGCAGTGTCTGCCTCAATTTTACAGCAGCTGCTCGTCCTTTTGCATGCTTGCTGCTGATGCTTGCCATTCTTGAAGAGGGCAAAAACTCAAAAGCAAACTTAAAAGCAACAAACACATGTGCTTCCAGCTGTGTGTGTGTTGTTTTTTAAACTTGGTTTCACATCAACAAGGCTCCAACAGAGATGGCTCCAGTGAAATGGAATTGAGCACATTTAAGGTTCCAGGATTCTGCACTTGCCTTTGCAGGTTGCAGAAAGGCACCTGCTCTGTCAGAAACTGATTGGTGGCACCTGCTTTCCTTGGGTGCCCTGTCTTTGGGTTGGCCTGCAGTAGCTGGGCAGGAAAGCAAAGGCAAAGACAGAGATCTATTTGCTTTCTTTTGGGGCTGGACTGGGCAGGTGAAAATCTGCACTGTGGGGGGTTAATTGAAGAAACATCATTTGATGAGATCTGGGTAATGGATGTAGAACAATATATTAAATGAGAGGCAGGTGAGTCAAGATCTGAATACATTTTAAAGGTCAGTTCTGTGATTTAAAGGGTTTTTGGTGAAATGGGTAATTTGCAAGAGTAAATACATGGGTTGAAGAATTGGTTTGGTGTTTTGAGGCTCATTACGCACCTCTGCCCAAAACTGTATTTTTGGTCTTAAGTAAGCAAGTTCCTCCCATCCCGTCCAGCATTCCATTTCTAACAGTGACATAGCTGTCAACGTTTCCCTTTTTTAAAGGGAAATTCTCTTATTTTGAATAGGATTCCTCACAAGAAAAGGGAAAAGTTGACAGCTATGAACAGTGATCAGCCAAATGTTTCTCAGAAAACAACAGTATAGTATTCTCCAGCGATTTGTTCCCAGTACAGTGGTACCTCAGGTTACATACGCTTCAGGTTACATACGCTTCAGGTTACAGACTCTGCTAACCCAGAAATAGTACCTCAGGTTAAGAACTTTGCTTCAGGATGAGAACAGAAATCATGCGGCAGTGGCGCAGCAGCAGCAGCGGGAGGCCCCATCAGCTGAAGTGGTGCTTCAGGTTAAGAACAGTTTCAGGTTGAGAACGGACCTCCGGAACGAATTAATTACATAACCAGAGGTACCACTGTATCTGGTATTAAGAGAAAGAGATTAATACAGGTGTATGCACTCTAATCTCTGAGTGATATGAGATTCCAGGGGTTCCTGGCACTTGATCAGGGTTAGTGTTTCCTTTTGGAAATGAGGCACAGCAGAGACTGTGGTTTATTTATGATATATGGTATGATATATCACACACTCACACACACACACAACCTGAGCCTGCAATGGAAGAGTTCACAGGAGAACAACCCCAAAAGGTGTATCTGAAGAAGTGTATCTGAAGAAGTGTGCATGCACACGAAAGCTCATACCAAGAACTAACTTAGTTGGTCTTTAAGGTGCTACTGGAAGGAATTTTTTTTTGTTTTGACTATGGCAGACCAACACGGCTACCTATCTGTAACCCCAAAAGGGTCTTTGTTCCCCCATGGCCACAGCCTTTGATTCAAACAGAAATCAACCACTGTTCTGCCTTTCCAGCCTGAAGCTTTCCTTCCAATTTTTAAAAACCCTAATCTGTCCTGATTGCCCAACGCCAGGAACACATACTCTAGATTCTCTCCCACAACTGGACAGAGAGCCTGGAGATAGAGAGAATCTCTATAGATCACAGCAACGCCTCCTCCCCAACCCTTGAGTCTGGCCTGATGCTGCACTGAGTACCCAGGTGGGCACAACTCCACCCCACTGTTCACCCACCCAGGTTTCAGTAATACATGCCAGATCAGCCAGACGAGGGAGATTTTATTCTGGACCAACCTGGCATTCAACAGCAGCAGTCGCAGACCCAAGGGCTGGCTGATATGACAACCACAGTTCCCCAGGTTGGATGAGGGGCTGGCACACTGCACAGTCACTAACTGCCTATGCCGTGTGCCACTTACCTGGCCTGCCCCTCCTCCCATGCCCTATGTCCCCCTATCCAGAACCATTGTAACTGGGTTTCCCCCACTCCTCTCCTCCCAGGCACATCCCACAGAATGCCATTACAACTCAGTTAAAGACAGTTAAAACACACACCCCAAAAATGGTTTTTAAGGATATAAAAAACAATTTAAAAGAAGAAGCCCTCTCTGCTGGGCAGCAGCAGCAGTCCTTAGAAAACCTGTCAGACCCCTCCCTGGGCCAGGTGGGTAGAGGCAGGAGCAGGGCCCTCTGGCTCTCAGCAGATCTGTGCAGGGATGCCCAGTTCTTTCATTCTGCTTCTTGCACTTGCTTCATGTTACCATTCAAGGGTGACATAACAAAAGAAAATGGATCTAAAGAGGATGAATTGGGAAGGAGTTTAAAAGGGCAAAACATATCTGAAGCCGGAGCAGCACAGACTATTGTATATGTGTGTGCACTTCTTTATGTTGCAATCCTATCCACATTTATTTGGGTACAAACTCTCTGTGGGATTTACTTACATAAGACTGAGCTGTGGGTTTATAAATGAAGATTGCTCAGATTATCAGTTTGCACCTTCTCACTCAATCACATCTCTTGTTGCCCTTAGTTAGCAAAATATGCTGATAGCTATGATTATTTCACTATGGAAATATCAGCAACTGAGACAGACACATAAAAAAAGGATATGGATTTCTGAGTATTAAGAGAGGATATTCTTTTGCATAATGTAATCCTGCAGGTCTTTGTTACAAACTGCAATAGGCATATAACCAAAATTCTCTTACCAGAGTACTAGGACTCAGCTATACAGCTGCAAATAAAATGTTTTAAGTGCAATATACAATGTGACACTAGATAGAGATGGTGAGACTTATGGAAAATTCAATGTATTTTTAAAAACGCCTTTTCTTTTTCCTTTTCTTTTTTAAAAAAAACCATTTTCAGAAGGGATTTATATGTGTGTAGATTGCACCCTAGTCACCCAAGTTATTGAAAACTTTCCAAGAGCTCAAGACCTAGGTACAGCTGTCTGGACTCTGGAATCTTGCTCTCTTCCTCAGAACTAGTTCAAGAGCAGCTGCCACATATGAACTACCGTATTTTTCGCTCTATAAGACGCACCAGACCATAAGACGCACCTAGTTTTCGGAGGAGGGAAACAAGAAAAAAAATATTCTGAATCTCAAAAGCCAGAACAACAAGAGGGATCGCTGCGCAGCCTGCATTCGCTCCAGAAGACGCACATACATTTCCCCTTACAGTTTAGGAGGGGAAAAGTGAGTCTTATAG